TAGTAGAGACAGGGTTTCACCATTTTGACCAGGATGGTCTCGATCTCTTGACCTTGTGATCCACCCGCCTCAGCCTCCCAAAGTGCTGGGATTACAGGCGTGAGCCACCGCGCCCGGCCTTGTTTTCTAAAGAGATGTGTGACATATTTTTTCATGTTTTATGATGTTGATATAGTTCACACATGGAAAAAAGCTAAAGTGTACAAACATGAATAAAAGGAAATGAATAATGTAGAAATTGTAAAAATCATTGGACTAATTCTAAATGGTGCCTATAAATCTAAAAATAAAAACGTTTTTCAGTTATGAAGCAAAGATGGCCCTCCTACTGTCATCAGCACCCCCATCCTGAGCATGGCTACACACACAGATCCTTTTTCCTCACATAGTTTGCCACTTATTGGGTTTCAAAATGCAGGGCAAATTTCACAGTACTAAATCATATTGGAGATAGGGACCTGCATTTCGCAGAATTTAGCAGAAAGATTCACAAAGTGAATGCATATGCTTAACATAAAAGGGAATACTTTCAATTCTAGAAATAAAAGCAATAAAAAGGTCGATGGATCTAAACCAAGTTTTTACAGCTATCAAAATGCAGAAGACTCAAAAGCTCATTCATGATAGATATAATTAACTTTATGGAAAACGTTATCAGGCAATATGAATAAAGTGTTTACACCTAACATTATATCATACACACAGTAATATTTAGAATCCTAATTGGTAAAAACAATACAAAAAAGGTATCAGTACTTTCAAAGGTTGATGACTTTCCACTTTTTCTTTCTCTCTTAACGTCTGATTTGAACCTGATATTGTTAGATCATGTCCATGCTGGATTTAAAATAAATCAATTTTTGGCTGGATGCAGTGGTTCACACCTGTAATCCCAGCACTTTGGGAAGCCAAGGCGGGCAGATCACTTGAGGTCAGGAGTTCGAGACCAGCCTGGCCAACATGACAAAACCCCATGTCTACTAAAAATACAAAAATTAGTCGGATGTGGTGGCAGGTGCCTGTAATCCCAGCTACTCAAGAGATTGAGAATTACTTGAACCCGGAAGGTGGAGGTTCCAGTGAGCCAAGATCGAGCCACCACACTCCAACCTGGGTCACAGAACAAGAATCCATCTCAAAAAAAAAAAAAATTACTTTTCAGACTGATGCTAAATCCTTTTAAAGCTACTCTATATTTGTTATCTCACTGTATTTCTAATTCCTCTGTTTTCTAATTAGTGCAACGTAATTAAAACTTCATACTCTCACTGTCTTAAAAACTTTTTTCAAGTGGAAGATCTTGAGTGAGTCAACATTAAACTTAACCATATAAATAGGATTTTGAAAGCAAGATTTCCAAAACTTAGAAGACTGAGAATGGTAGCTGGGTGAGGTGGCTGATGCCTGTATTCCCAGTACTTTGGGAGGCCAAGGCAGGTGGATCGCCTGAGGTCAGGAGTTTGAGACCAGTCTGGCCAACACGGTGAAACCTCATCTCTACTAAAAATATAAAAATTAGCTGGCATGAGGGCAGGCACCTATAAGCCCAGCTAGGCAGGCTAAGGAAAGAATTGCTTGAACCCAGAAGGCGAAGGCTGCAGTGAGCCAAGATGGTGCCACTGCACTCCATCCTGGGCAATAGAGCAAGGCTTAGTCTGGAAAAGAAAAAAAGGAAGAGTGAGAATGGACTCATCATAAATAATCTATTATGGAGTCTCCTAATTTCAGCATTCAAGTAAAACATTTGAGTACAGTCATCCCTTTGTACCTGTGGGGAACTGGTTCTAGGACACCTATATCATGGATACAAAGTTTCTGATACAAACAGCATCGTACCCTATTTGTATATAACCTATGCACATCCTCTTATATGCTTTAAAATTCATTTTTGGCTTACTTATAATAATACAATATAAATATGATACAAATAGTTATACTATATTGTTTAGGAAATAATGAAAAGAAAAATGTCTACACATGTTCAATATAAATGCAACTTCTTTTTTTTTCTTTTTTGAGATAGAGTCTTGCTCTGTTGCCCAGGCTGGAGTGCACTGGCACGACTCACTGCAACCTATGCCTCCAAGGTTCAAGCGATTCTCCTGCCTCAGCCTCCCCAGTAGATGGGATTACAGGCGCACACTACCATGCCCAGCTAATTTTTGTATTTTTCAATTTTTCGTAGAGATGGCATTTAGCCATGTTGGCCAGGCTGGTCTCAAACTCCTGACCTCAGGTGACCCGCCTGCCTTGGCCTCCTAAAGTGCTGGGATTACAGGCATGAGCCACTGTGCCTGGCCTAGATGCAACTTTTTTCCAAATTATTTCAATGTGTGGTTGGTTGAATCTACAGATGCAGGACCCACAGTTATGGAGGGATGGCTGCACTATCTTGTATGCTCAAGAAATTTAGCAGTATGCACTGACAGAATTTATAATCTACTGGGACAGATGGGTAGAAGGAGCTTAACATAAACCCATAAAAAATATGTAAAGTGAAAGGACAGCAGCATAGAGTGGTAAAGGCTCTCGAACTAGCTGACCTCAATTTGAATCCTGGCTTCACCACCTACTCACTATATGACACTAATTTTTACCTTCTTCTAGACTCTAGACCTCATTTATAAAATGGGAATAATACCTACTTTGCAAGTCTCATGTAAAAATAAGTCCAAAGCGGCCAGGTGCGGTAGCTCACGCCTGTAATCCCAGCACTTTGGGAGGCCAAGGTGGGCAGAACGTCTGAGGTCAGGAGTTTGGGACCACCCTGGCCAACATGGTGAAACCCCGTCTCTACTAAAAATACA